CTGAATTGCGCAGCGAGGCCCCTTCAAGGCATCCTTTGGCGGGAGGGGGTGGGGGGAGTTCTAGCAGTGACAACTTGGGGGCAAGGACGCCGGTTCCAGCCTCAGCCATGGCACTTGAAGACAGGCTTGGCCGTGTGGCATATGCCTGAGGCGAGATTTCTGTGACGTGTTCCACCACTCTCCCCAGTAGCTTGGCCAGCTTTGGAGGGCTTCATGGAACCGACACTACCTCCGGGGGGACCCACCGGTCCAGCCTCCATCATGCTCTGTGCCAGTGAAGAGCTAACTCCTAATGTTGAGGTCCCGTGTTTGTCCCCACGCCCACCTCTGATCGATAGCACGTTCAGTCTCAGAGGGTTTCCTGGAGGCAGTGCCAAGATTGGGATGAGACACAGGTCCCCACCTTAGGGAGTCAGGTGACCAAAAATGACATCTGCTTGGTGTACGAAGATCGCATGGTGGCTACTGCTCAGATCCAGTCCTGCCTAAGGGAACATCCTGTAAATGCCCCTGACTTGAGGCAGAGGTGGCTCTCAGTCATTCCTTGTGTGTAGTATACTTTTTTTTAATTTTAATGCCCCAAACCAGGGCTCCCAACCTGGGCTTCATATGCCCTGAGACTGCTCGGTAGGACTAGACAGGTTTTCTGTTTGGTGGCTCCCAGGCCGTCTTATCATTCTCATTTGGCTCCCCACTCCCCACCCGGTTCTGTTAGCCGCCACATGGCGTGCCCCCCTCCCACGGTGCCCACCTAGCTCATTCCCTCAGATCCACCAGGGCACCTGGCACATAGTAGGCATTTAATCAGTACTTTCTGGAGTGATGAAATCCATAAGTCCACTTCTGCTCAGTGGGACGTGCAGCCTTGGAGGGCTTCCTGGAGGAGTTGCCAGCTTTGGGGATAAGCCACCAGTTCCAGCGTCAGCATCAACTCCTGACGGTGGAGACAAGACTCCTAACCTGTGTGTGCTTGTCGCATGATGCATGTATTGTGCTCGACCCGCCTCTGATTCCCCCCAGCTCTGGAAGGCTTTCTGGACGTGTCCTCCACCTCTGTCCTCGGCGTCCCTGTGTGGTACTTGGAGAGATAGTAGACCGTATAGCGTACGCTTTATCTGTGACGTATGTAACACGGTCCACTAACCCTCAGTATCAAATCCATCCTCGAGGCTCCTGGAAGCGACGCCATCTGCAGGGAGGCGCCCCGGACCCACGGCGAGGCCTCTGCGTGACGCTCGAAGAGCTGGTTTCTGTAGGGCATGCTCTTCTTTCCTGCATGATGCGAAATGACGTTCTCTCGCTCTTCCTATACCAAGCTCTGCCTCGGGAAGTCTCGCCACCTCTGGGGAGGAGATCTTGCTTCTTTCTGGGATCGGTGCTGCTCTATGGCATTCGATGACATGGTTGACTCCACAACTCTTGTCTCGTATCCACCATGACCCGCTTCTTCTCAGCGTCAAGCGCAGCCTCGAAGACGTCCCCGGAGCCAGCTTTGGACCCGAGCCAGCCTCCAGCCATCATCGCCACCGTCCACCGTGCGGTACTTGAAGAAATGGTTTACCGTCCCACATACATTTTGAATATGTATGTGGGACGGTAAACCGCTTCTTGGTATCCAGCCCAGCCGTCCAAACCACCCGGCAGAGAGAGCCCGAAGTCGGAGACGCGGCGCGGCCTCGGCGGCTCCTGCTCCGGTGCTCGGCGGAATGGTAGACTGTTACATGTGTGCCTAACCTGTTCATGCTTGCAGCACGGTCTTCTCCTCAGTGTCAAACGCAGCCTCCAAGGCCTCCCTTGGGACAATGACAGCCTCTAGGAAGGGCTCCCGCTTCCACGCTGGCACGTCCGCCCGCAGTGCTCGAAGACATGCCACTCAGGGCCGCGAACGTTCACGAAAGGAGCGACGTTACACGCCCTGCCCTCGTCACCCGCCAGGCCCCCTCGGATGGCCTGAGGACCAAGCGCCCCTGGAGAGGCCTCCCTGGGCATGCGAGAGGCGATGCCGCGCCAGGTACCCGAAGACGCACGGCCCCGCGCTCTGCCCTGCCGATGGCGTGCAGTCTCTTTTTCCCACGTCGCGTCTAGTCGTGTCGGAGAAGACGCCCTGGCTCTGGACTCAACACGGATCCTCCCTGAGGATGTGCCGGCCCCGCTCGGTGCGCTTGCCGAGGACGCACGTCCCCCGGGCCCCTCCTTCCCCACCTCCAGCCGGGCCCCGGAGAACTGGCTGAAGATGCCACCAGCCCCAGTCGAGTCGCGTCCGCGCACCGGCTCGGCGTCGGCGCCCAGCTCACGGTACCTGGAAAGGGTTGGACCGCACTGCATGTGTTTTATTAACCGCGTAGGGAGCATGGTCTGCTTCTCTCCAGTATCGAATTCCTGGGAGGTCTCCAGGGAGGCCTCTGGAGACGAGCCACCGGCGCCGCTCCAGGATACTCGGGAGAAGGTGACCATGCTTCATACGTCCTACTCACAACGCATGTTACTTGGGCCTTCTTTTCATAACAGCAAGTGCACCTCGGGGGGCTTCCTGGAGGCAGTACTGAGTCTCCGGCAGAGCGCGTTTTGGAGTCATTTCCACTCTGGGTCCCCGAGGGGTTTTTCTCTGCTGCGTCCGCTGCATCTGTCGCAGACTTTGCATGGTGGCCTCTTCTCAATACTGCGCCTACCTCTGAGGGCCTCCCGAAGGGGACGCTCGGGAGAGGAAGGAGACGCCGTTCTGACAGCAGCCCCGTCCACGGTACCTGAAAAGATGGTTGACCATAGGACATGCGCTGTCTCTAGGTCGTATGTAATATGGTCCACGTCTTCTCAATATCAAATTCGGTCTCGGAGGGCTTCCCAGAGGCAAGGCCAACTTCGTGGGAGACACGTGGGCCTGGCTCCAGCACCCTTCCCTGGCGTGTGGAGAGACGGTGGACCGTAGAGCATACGTGCCATTTGTGACGTATGTGCCATGGTCCACTCATTCTCAGCATCGGTCAGCCTTCAGGGACTTCCCAGAGGCCATGCCAACCTGAGGGCAGTCCCCGTGCGGTAGGCACCATCCAGCACACGTCACAGGCGACCGGCAGGAGACCATGTGCTTTAGTCATGACGTTGGCCATTTTGGTCCCCCGACCGATACTCGGCGCCCAGCCCCGGCCTTACAGGGCGTCGCGGAGGTGGTCGTGGCACCAGACGTGGGCCCACGGTCATTGTCACGCTCTCTGATGGCTGATCATATATGGCGCACGTCGCAAGGGCTTCCCGGAGGTGACACCAAATTAAGGGGAGAGGGTCAGGGTCCGCGTCACCTAATGGTATTCGAAGATGCGGTTGACCATGGCGTGCACGCTGTAATGATGACGTAGGACACATGGTCTGCTTCTTCTCAATATCACCTGTCGCCTCGGAGGACTGCCAGGAGGGGCTGCCAGCTTTGAGGAAGAGCCACTGTCCTGGGGTCAGGACTGCCGCTGCTTGGTACCTGGGGAGAGGTGGTCCGTGGCGCGTTCGCTTTAATGATGGCGCACATTACACGGTCGACCTCTTTGCAGTATCTAATCCCGCCTCGCAAGCTTTCCTGGAGCTAACACCAGCGGCGGGGTGGGGGCCCCAGGTCTGCTCTCCGTGTGGCACGGCGGGGTGTCTGTCCTGTGCGCGGTAACTCACGTGTCGCGGCATTCTTCTCAGCACACCGCTCTGGCTTGGTGGCTCCGAGGGCGGGGTCGCTTGCGGACGGAAAGGGCGGTGACGCGCGTGCCTGGATACATGAGATGGTTGACCAGAGAGCACACGCTTTTATTTGTGCCGTTTGTGACCTGGTCCACTAACCCTCAGTATCTAATTCCCCCTGGGAGGACCTCCAGACGAAGGGACACCTCTGGGCAACGCGACAGTGACCCAGGGCCGGACGGGCTCCGCCGGACTCGGAAGGACGAGCATCGGCCAGGCGTCTGCTGCACCCGTGCCAGCCACGGCGAACCCGGACTTGTGCGCAGTAGGACCCCTTTCCTTGGAGGGCTTCCTCGACGGGAGGCCGTCCAACCTCAGGGGAAGGGCATGCTGTCTGCACCACCCCGGAGTACTCGTGTGGTCAGCAGACCAGGGTCCGAGCGCTTGATTGACGACACAGGTCCCTGGGCCCTCCCGCGCCTCTGTATCCGGGGGAGTCCTTGGGAGGAGGACCTTCGGGGGAGCCAACCTCAGCCTGGGGAAACTGAGGAAGGTTGCCCCTGGGGGTTTAACCAGGAATGCGATCGCTCTCGTGACCAGCACCTCTGTAGTGTCGCCACCCTCTGGCCCTGGCGCCGTCAGGAAGTTCAGGATGCCACTGGGGTCTGCCCCACCGGGGTACTTGGATGGGTGGTTGACGGACAGCATGCATTCAACGGATAGCTTAGCAGCAAGCGACAAACGCGCAGCGTCCTGTCCACGTGAGCGGGACGTCCGGGACTGAACGCCGCGTCTGGGGAAGCATCGGTGGTGTGCTTGTCAGTGGTACCTGGAGAGAGGTTTCCGGGTTTCTGTTTCTTTAATGCGGCTGAAACACCACCTGGTTAACCTCTTTTCCAGTATCAGTTCCCACCTTGAAGGCCCTCGGTCCAGATCCCGACTTCAGCGAGCGCGTCACTGTCGGCTCCCATCTAGTCGACCGAAATAAGTGGCTGAGCAAAGCCTATGCCTTGTATTTATGACAAATGTCACCTGTTCTGCTAATAGCAGTGTCTGGTCCATGTTGATGGGACCGAACATGTAGTCTGGGGACGCATGCGTGGGATGCGCGTCAGTGTTCGTTGGTGGCATCTAGAGACAGGCGTTGTGGGTTTGTGTGTCTTTCATGAGGGTGGCCCACAGCTGGGCGACCTCTGGTGCAATATCAGGAGGCCCTCTGGTCCAGATCCCAGTGTCAGGGAGCGGGCGCTCTGGACGTGGTTAAATGTTTCGCCACCAAACCTGTCCCATGTTTCTGACTTTTGTCACCTATTCCACTAACTCGGTATCTGATTCATTCTTAGGGCGACCCCCCAAGACGGCGCCTGCCTGGAGGACGATGGTGGTCGCATGGTAGCTCCGTACCCAGAACACGCAGGTAGGTTCTCTGGGGGTGCGTCTACCTTATCGATTAATGCATAGCCTGCCTCGTCCCGTATCTGGCCCCACTCTGGAGTGATGGCTGGTCTTTGCCACCTTCAGTGGTGGGCGAGGCGTTTAACCCAGCCCGTGTTGGAGGAATGGACAGACAGCGTAGGTGGTCTGTGCCACCCCCCCCTCCTCTGGCCTGTCCTGAAAGAGTGTTCTGGACATAAGGACAGCTCTGGGAAGCACTGATGATTCTGAGATCGCGATGAGACCTCGGGGGTCCTTACAGTTGGTTTGGGGTGGGACCTGCTTGTTTCTAACAGGAATTCTGGAGTTGGTTTATTTTCGTAAGCCTGGAGGCCTGCTTGATGGTGTCTTGCCAATGTGGGGTGAAAGGCTGGTCCTTCACCCTGGTCCAGGAGAACTAAGCAGATAGCTGACGATGGTCTGGTCATGGGCTTTACCAGGACGGTGGTCTGCTGACCACTGCGTCCAGCCCACCCTTAATAGGTGATGCTGACGCCAGGGAGGAGGCTGTTTCCTGTGGGTGGCATTTCTCTGTGTTCTTCGAGGCAAGCTTTCCTTTGAGGTATTCATTTCTTTTGTGGCAAAGCTGTCCTGCCAACCCCTCTTCAATCAAAACCCAGCGGGGAAGACTTCCTGGACACAATAGAAGTTGTCAGCCCAGGTCCAAGGTGAGTGAGCCAAGATGTGGTCCTACCTCGCTCTGCACATCATGTCTCACACTAATGGTCCTGCCATCCTTCTCAGGAGGACTTCCAGGAGGCGGTGCCAACCTTCGGGGAAGGAAGAGCTTCCTGGCTGGCTTCAGCAGCAACGCACAGGGGTAAGTGGTTGGCTCTACATTTCTTTTGGTGGCACGACTCTGGGTCCTGGCCTCTTGCGTGGTATTTGGGGAGGGGGCATCAGGCTCTCGAGGAGGGGCCAACTTTCCACTTCAACCCCTTTGTCTGATGAGAGCCCTCCAGTTCCACGCAGGGCTGGGTGCAGCCCACGCAGACCACATCGCCTGCCTCCGGACCGTGGAATGCGGGGACTCATTTGCAAACTCTCACCCGATGCTCCCACCTTGTTACGTAAACCGTTGCTGTGGGCACTCCCTGAAGGACACCGGGAAAGCTCCCGGAGAGAGGTTGTACATGAGATGTTCTCTTATTGCTGGAAAATATTTCGTGGGCAACCTCTTTTTAGCATCTAATCTTCAAGGGGTTGTTGATGGACCTCCAGAAAGACTCATGCCATCTGGTCTTCCCGGTGCAGTGTAGCCTCGGGACGCCTTGGGGGTGACCGAACACCCGTGAAGATTCTGCAGTTCGGTTTTTGTTTCGTTTTCTTTCGTTTTTGACCAGTGCTAATCCTTGATACTCGAAGGAGAGGTGGTCCGTGTTGTCTTCTCTTTATTTATGATGAAACATACACGGGAAACCTCTTTTTTAGTATCAGATCCCACCCTGGAGGCACTTCCTGTTGCCGATGCGGCCTTCAGGGAGGGGACTCTGCCAGCTCTGAGGGGTGCGAGGAAGGAGCACCT